AATTACAGAGAAAGAGCTGATACTAGAGCAGCAAAACCTGCAAGTAACAGGGCAATAATTGTTCTGTATCACAGACTATTGGTACTCGTAACAAACTAAAATTCTTTGTGGCCTCTAAATTAAAAATAAGCTTCACTCTTATTTGACAGTTCTATCAAAAAATAATTAAGAAATAGTACTAATGTATTCACATTAGGCAATGACCTTTTATACGTAGGCATCTCACTGATAATCAAGAGCAATGTATTTTCTCAATTTTCCCCTCATCCAGGCAGCAGAACATTTAAACTATTCTATGTTCATGTAAAACAGTGCTATTCGTGTTTTCATGAACATTACTTTCCTACTCAGCTTAAAATATGCTATACTTGGTGCTGAGCTGGAAAAATCGCCTGTTTATGTCATAGTATAGTGCGTACACAACTTGTATCCAAGTTCTTGTGTATGCATTGACCCTCTGTGAAATGTTTAAATATTTCTGTTCGAAGCATATCTGTCTGGTGCTGCATTATAATCATACAAACAGTTTTGGCTTCTCATATTTACAACTGTGGGTTTGTTGTTCTGACTTGGTCTGAGAAATAAGTGGTTGAAATTGCTCCTTCCTCCCTGCCCCTTCTAGAGAAAAGAGGAGTGTATCTGCATTGCCCAATTGTCTGCACCTATTTTTTTTGCTTTTTGTGTGATTAATGTAGCAGTTAGGCTACTCAAAACACTGTTTCAAAGGTCCTTCAAAGAAGCAATGGCCCACTTCAGTCTTCTGTCTGAAGAGCGGGTTGCAGCATCGGGGTGATGCAGTAGATCTGGGGTTGGATGCATGGCTTCCTGTTCTCTTTGATGATTACGGGTTGAGTAATCCTGCTAGTTCTTCTGCCTCGGTATGGAATTGTACTCGCAGCTGTGAGACAGTGAAACCTGAGATATTCTACAGTATGTGGGTACTACATGGGTAGTGAGCATGTGACATCTGTCAATTATCTTAAAACTTTAAATTTGAATAGAATGTGGACATGGTTTGGATTTTTTAAGGTTGCTCTCAGGGATAGATCTAAGGATTTTTACATATTATGTAACTTGTTTAAATAGAGATTTTTACATATTATGTAGCTTATAAATCTGTTCTTTAAGAAGCTGTTTTAACATAATTGCACTTACTGATTTTAGGGGTGAAATCATTTGATTGGTTTATATTCTGGAATAACTTTGATCTTTTGACCTTTGCTGGTCCTGTGGCTAGCCAAATCTGGAGAAAAATGGGGAATGCTGGGCTTTGTTCTTGAAAAATTCTGAGTAATTTTTCTGGGTGGAGAGTTTTAATCATGACCTACTTCAAGGAAGTACATGTAGTAACATGTTTTCAGTTAGAATGTCATGTTCTCTACAACTGAAGGAATTGTCCCTTCCAAAACATGTCTGAAGATACGCATGACTTGCTTGGTGTTGTAAGGGGAAGAACTATTTTGTAACATGTAGCCGTGGCCTTGGCTTCTTCAGCTCAGGGCTGAACTTTTTGATGAGATATTTAAGTAAGGAAAAATATCTTGGATTGCAGTTAACTGTGGTAGTCCCACATATAAAATACTGTAGTAATTGTTTCTACCGTGAAAGGCTTGAAGTTCTCTGCCTGGATGATCTGGATCCCAACCTGCCAAAGCTCTCAGTTACACAGAAGCACTCCAGGGAGAAAATAAAATTACTCATATATTACACTTTGTGTGAAAGAAAAAGTTGAAAACTTGCTGTATTAGTACAGTAGTCCATTTTCTGTCATTTTTACCCTGCTTTCGATAATTATATCTATGTAAAGCAACAGAGCTTTATTTCAATGTAGATCTAGTTTTCTAATGCTTTTTCTCTGCCGCTTGATGGGTTAATGGCTTGTCTAGAACTTTGTGATAGACCTTTCCCACCTCTTCTTGAAAATACTGTGCCAAGGTTTCTTTTACCTTAAGCTAGATCTCACTAGGACACAAATTTTTCTTTAGCTCCTGGAAAATCTCTTTGGACTTGCTTCCTGCTTTTCTCCAATGTCTTGTCTGCACTTTTCTGCATGCTTCTCTCACTAGCACGTGTGCTTGCTCTCAGAGCGCGAGCAATATTTCAGTTTTAGTATGTCTCTAGCAGAGTCATAGGGCAATAGAAGAGACAATGTAAACAACCCTTTCCTTTCTGCCACCTCACCACTCTGTGTGTAACAATGTGCAACATTCAGTATTTCCATGAAATATTAGGAACAAAAAATGAAGATTAATTTTTTAACACCTGAGTAATTTATTCATAGGATACTCAAAGATTTTAGTAGAAATCTTGGGGGGAAGGGATTGATACATGTTATGACTGCATAATGAAGACATTGACAGCCACATTAGAAAACTTTAAAAAAAAGTGTTGGCATTAAAAACTTGTAATTCTCTAACTTTGCAGATTCTTTATAAATCTATAGCAAGTTACTTTCTCATATGATGATAGCTGAACATAAAACAATTAGTTGGATGAGAACAAAAACTACTATAGCTACACTAAGACTTTGAGATTGATGTATCCTGCCTCCTTTCAAAGGGCAGACCCAAATGAAAAGGAAGCTTATGGTATGTCCAGGCTTCGAGCAGTGCTAAAAGCCAGACATTGAATCAAGCTGATGAATCTTGGAATGCTTTTATAAATTTTAGGGGTCTCATAGAGCAAGCCAAAAAGAGATGTCAAAGAATGAAGAATCAAAATTATCAGGCAAGAGGCTTAGAAGCAATGAAGGTATTCAGTGAAGGCTAAGGACAGAACAAGGTCAAACTGACTTAGGTGCCCAAAGAGTATAAAAAGTATTCCCTTTGTACTTACAGCTAGGGACTGCTCATAGGAGAATGGCTCTGCCCTGACGGGGATTTCCATTGGTGTGAACTTGGTTTTCTGCTGAGTTTCCAACCTGCAGGTGCAAAAAGATACCTGCTTCTTCACAACATAATATTTGAAGTTTGGGGAAAATTATGGTAATGGGTTGTTTGCCTTTTAGTGCAGCATTTTAATATTAGTATTTATTTCTGATAAGCTTATTGAATTCAATTTTCTGCCATGCATTACTTTTATATTACATTGATTTTAGTTTTCTGTTTTCTAAGATCGATATATCAGGTTATTTTAAAGCACTTTATTTTTTGAACACTTCATTTTTTTAATTATTTCAGATCATGTCTGAAGGACAACTCTATTGTTGTCTTAATACTCCCAGTAACTGTTGTCCTAGTACGCCCAGTAATCTGATTCAAAATGCCTGGGTCTACACTGGACAATATTAATGGGGGTATATTTTCCTTGGAACACTCTCCCAGTAAATTTCCAACTGACTTAAGTTACTACTTTTTTTTTTTTTTTTTTAATTTTCCACTGGTATTTTTCATTTTATATTGAGGAAAAAAAAACCAACACAAAAAGGCCTCATCTTTTGTATTTCTGTTACGAGTATGATACATAAATATCAACTATTTGAGGACATTTTTCTAACATGCAAATCTTAATGCTTTAAGGTGCTTGGAAAGGGAGGGAAAAACTCCACAAGGCTATTCATGTGTTATAGTTTCCATGGTTTTAATTTCCCAGACCTGAATGCAGTCTGCATAATATATGGTAAAGACACTGCAAACTAATTACAAATTCCAATCTTAACATGTTAGATTGGAGTAACCCTTTCAAAATGATAAAGCAATTTCCTGTGTATGATGTAGTGCAAGGGCTTAGGCATGACAAATTACAATTGTATATTTGTATCGCAATAGCACAATAACATTTTTAAAGAGTCTTTATAAAATTAACATATGATCTTGTAAAGTGCTGGGTTAAAATGCAGTCTAGTGTGTACTTCCATTTTCTTTAAGAGGTAATGGTATATTACTATGGTATATTAACGATATATTACCTAGAAATTCTCCAGAAACGTTGCTGGAGTTTATTACACTTTAAAGATGTCAAGCTATTGTCATTGACAATTTGCATGCATATTTGTAATAACAATTTTGCACGTTAGCATTAGTTTCCCAGAGAACTTTTTCTTTACCTGTGTGACAAACTTTGAAAATATCTTTTTCTAAATACTGGGGGATATTGTTCCCTTGGTTAATTATGTAAAACTACGTGAAGAGTATACAAGAGATTGTTACAGGGTGTAACAGCAGCGGCAAGTAAATAATATAGGTAACATCTTCAGATATCCAGCTTCGAGAAATTTATTATAGGAATGGCTGAGCCCAATAATTAGGTTGAAGTTTCAAGAGCGACTCTGCAGAGTGGGATGTGGTGCTTCTCTGTAAGCTAGGTTTGGGATCAAAAGAAACCTGGAAGCCTTGGAGTTTTAAGAGTTGGCTGACTAGTGATAGCTAACAAGGTGTGACCAGTGGACAAATATGAATGGGTTTTATCTCTTTGTATGCACACAGACTGCATAGATTCCTTTCCTATTCAGAGAGGGGAAAATGGTGCTTTTTGACCTTACAAGTAGAGAAATAAGGCTGCTGATGGCTCCAAATGAAGCAGTGTCACAACTGTAGATAAAAATTGAAGAAATGATGCAGAGAGGGGGAATGAATTGCGTTTAACTACAAAAATAGCTTGTTTGCTGTCTTTGTTTATATGCCAGTTTCCTAGAGTCTAGATAGACTTAACAACTAGCAATTAAATAAGGTATTGTATACTCTAAGATTGTTCATATTTTCTCAGGGTGATAAAAGTGATTCTACTTACTCTGAAATTCTGCATTTCAAATTAGAAATGTTCTATGAAGACCCATAATACAGACACTGTAAGCCTGTTTCCTCAGGTTATTTTATCAGTTTGTACTAAGAAATAAGTATCTAAAGACAGTCAGATGTGCATTATTCAACTGGAATGCACTCAAGCATTTAACCCTGGGAATGTGTGATATAACTGTACAAAGGTATTCTTTTGATGCCATATTGAAATGTGTTTGACCTCTGGATATCTGCTCGGTGTTTTGATTTTTCTTTCTTTATTAGTTTGAAAATGAAATCATTTTGAAGTTGGACCATGAGGTGGAAGGAGGACGTGGGGATGAACACTACATGCAGTTGTTTGAGTCCATGTAAGTAGTGCGTGAGAATAAATGCCTTCAGGATGTGTTTGTATCTTATTGTTCCCACTCCTCAAGTTTGTAACCTTGCTTAAAAATAAAATAGTCTGATCAGCTTTTTTTTATGAAGGGACTGGAAATAGCACACTGTTTCAGTAAACCTGGTTCGAATTGTAGTTTTGCTTACTGAAACTATTTTCCTGGTTGCTCTTTAGGATTTTGTGCTCCAGCTAAATTATGAAGAAATTATACTTCACCTGCATTTCTCTGTCCAACTTTGAAGCAAAGATAATCAAATATTCACCCCACTTTTTTGTCTTTCCCCATTTTTCTTTATAACTTTTCTTGGTTTTATTTCACACTAACAAGAAGGTATTTTAAAATGTCTTACTTGGTTTTCTTGATGTCTAGATTGGACTCTAAGAGGTTATTCTTTGAACTTACATAAGGTGACTATCCTGGAATGAGAATATTGTGAAGTGCTACCATTAATAAATATATTTCTATTTCTAGCAATCCCAAAGCCTGATAGAGCATCTCCTCCTCTTGTTGGCCACATTCAGTTTTATTCTCAGACTTAATAGCTGTGCCTTTGCTCGTAGCAGGTTGCATGTGTGATGTATCGGGCAGCGGTGGAATCCTCACCCTGCCTCTGAGAACTTGTTCCTAGCTTTGTGCCTTAGACTGTAACAGCAGAAAGTACATTGCTCATCATACACGTTCTCAAGCATTGATGACCTTGATAGTTATTAAGTATAAAAATGCTGTAGCACTTCGGCTACCCGACAAAATCGATACAGGCTTTGTGACGTTGAGTGTGTATGTTTTTACTTTCTCAAAGCCTGCTACCTTGTATGTATGTACTATATTTTTGTGTAGGGGTACCAATCTTTGCAAAGTCACATCCCTCACCAGGTGGAGCATGCAATCTTTGTGAATACCACAAAAGAAAAAAAGTCTACTTTCAGTGAAAACATAATTTTGTAAAAAATATTGAAATATATAATCAAATAATAATATGTAAATGTTATCTTATGTAAATAATATCTAGTTATGTTCTAATTAAATAGTAAATTTTAAAAGAAACATCATTTACATGTTCACTATGTCTGTTTAATTTCAGTCCTATGAGGAGGCAGATAAAATAGAGAGGCAGACTTGAAAAAAGTAAAAGTACTGACACTTTTTAGGCAATATAAAACTATTCTTTGAAAGTGATACACTGGCAAGGATAGATAAAGTTTTAAAATTGTCTCTTTCACTTCCTAACATGCAACGGCTATGTAAACTGAGAGCAATAAACAAATTTTTCAATTTTGAACATATACTGTTTGTCTTCAAGTCTTAGGATAGCTAAGAGGTGACACAGAGATGTTCAGACTAGCTCTTGGTATGACCCAAACCAGGCCTGCATGTACATAGTTTTCTTAATCACACTGCTGCAAAGCCTCAGCTGCGATGCCTGCCTTAACTGTCGCTACAATTCATCATCTCTAATACTGGGGATTCAGCTGACACAGTGGACATTTATTGCAGTGCTAAACTTTCCTTGCTGCTAGTAAGTTTTTTTTTTCCAAATATCCATACTAAATTTTCCTTGCCTTAGTTTAAGCCAATTATTTCTTGGTTTACCCAGACATGAAGAATCATTTATTCTGTTTTTCTTTGCAGCAGCTTTTAATAAATTTGAAAGTTGCTGTCAAGTTTCCTTTGGTCTTCTCTTTAGGGTTAACAACCCTAGTATTTCAGTTTATCATATGGAATGTTATCTGGACATTCCTACAATGTCTACATCTATTTTGAAATACTACATTGCCTTAAAGCTGGAGAGAGTATTCAAACTGAGACTTTATCAATGCAAAGAGAAAAGCTTCTTTCAGATCTTGTGCATGAAGTTCTTTGAAGTTTACTTTTTCTGAGCTGTGTAACACCATTTGCTTGTCTTGTTTGCAGTTTACTCTTGTGTTCAAATATGTTTCTAAAGAACAGGTGCCTATCCAGTTAAACCCCATCTTTCAGGAGTGCAGTTAAATAGTCTCATCAAACATACTACGTAGCATTTGATCTTCCTGCCTTTCCAAGGTATCCTTCTGTCTTGGACATATCTGGTTTTTTCCCTTGATACTGTCTCACCTTCTACAAGACTTCAAGATTTCCATATTTCTACAGATGTCACTTCATAGTAAATATTAAATAAATAAATAAAAAATATTTTTTATTTATTAAAACTGAATAAATAAACCCAGTAAACTAATAGCTTCAGCAGAAGTTAAACCACTGCCTTGTGTTTGTCCATAGTCCTACATGTTGGCATGCGCCATGGCATGGCTATGACCTGTGCTAATGAATGCTGTCCTGGACAACACCAAGGAAGAGTTGGGATAACATGGAACAGATGAGAGGCTGTTTTCAGTAGGCAGAACAGACAAGGCTACCCTGGTTTGGGAAACGGAGGAGAATCTAGCTATATGAGTACAAGTTGTGCTATGCCGCTTGTCTTTAGGCTCAGAAAACGAGTTCTGGCATGTTTTAGTTACTAATATATGCACAACACAAAATAGTGTTTGGAAGCTTTCCAATTCCCCATCATTGCAGTGGCCCATGTTATGCAGTTGTTTTCTTGAACTTTATTGGAAATATTTTTTATTTTAAAACTTTTTTTTAAGGTCAATTTAAAAATTCAAAGATTTCTTGCTCCCTCCTGGGTAAAAAAATCTTCTAAAGTTTTATGGGTCCTTTTTATTGGGATTATTGTATAAAGATGACCAAGACTTGTAAACTTTTTAAATCTTCCCTCATGAGGCATGTATTCCTCTCTTCTGTTCATTTTGTAGTTCTCAATGTGTACTCCAGTTCATCTTTCTTTAGTGACTGGAGTTATGTACTATATCCTGGGTGAGATCTAGCAATAGCTTGTGGTTTATGGCAATGTTTTTCTACTTGTGTTGGAAAGAAATGCGATGCCTTGGTGACTCACGTTCATTTCACAGTCAAGAGATGTTCACAGGTCTGCCTTGTTTGCTGTCACTCCAAGTGAACCTATGGCAAAAATTCATAATAGTCACTTAAACAGTGCCTGTGCTTTCCTTTGTTAGCATCCTGTTTCTGACACCTACATATGTAAACTAAGCCCATTTGAACTGTACAGTACTCCAGTCCCCTATATGATTCTCAAGCTTTCTTATTTTCTTTTCCACAAATATCACTTAACATGCTTCGGCCTATTCTGTTGGTTGTCAAATCTTCAGAACCTTTAGTATTTAATGTTCCATTTACAGTATGTTTAATGTCATAATCCATGTTTCAATAATTATTTAAATATTTTGGTTATTGTTTCAGACTAGTCAGACAACAGCGATTAAAGTATTCTGGTTTTATCTGTTAGCCTTTGTCGCATCTTGTACAATATAAGTGTTCTTTCAGACATGCATGTACACACTCCCTCTGTCTCAGCAAAATAACTATGTTGGATCTGTACAATCAAAGGAATAAACATTACGTGCTGGGTTTACTTTGAGTTAGAACTTTGATACTGGGTACTTTGCTGAAGTTCCATTCTAGGCCAAAGCTTTGAGGATTTCTTTGCAGTTTAAGTTATTATGAATCAGTATTTTCTGAAGAAAGTTTAAATAATTCTGAGGAGTAAAAAATTATTTTTGCAATTAATTAAAACTTAATAATTTATAATGAAAAGTTAAAAATAATACTGTACTTAAAGATTAATGATAAATTATTAAACATATTTGCATATAAATTGAGTGCTGTTAATGAAACACTGAGAGGTCAGAATTAAGAATAATGTGACATTGAAACTGCGCAGCTTAAGCACACAGCATAGTGTCAGGGATAATTTGGAATTGTTAGCTTGTTTTTATTATTTTCCTGTGAGATACATGGTGATTTTGATATGTTACTAATAGAATATGCCAAATATAGATGTAATTACTTTGTGCATTGTGGTGGGTTGACATTGGCTGGACACCAGGTGCCCACCAAGCTGCTCTGTCACTCCCCTTCTCAGCAGGATGGGGGGTGAGGCGGAAGAAAATAAGACGGAAAAGAACTCATGGGTCAAGATAAAGACAGTTTAATGAAGGAAAAGCAAAGACCACGCACTTAAGCAAAGGAAAACAACAGATTTATTCTCTACTTCCCATCAGCAGGCAATGTCTAGCCACTTCCTGGGAAGCAGAGCTTCACTATGTGTAGCGGTTGCTCTGGAAGACAAACATTGTAATAATGAGTGTCCCCCCTTCTTCCTCCTTTCTCTTGGCTTTTATTGGTGAGCAGACATCATATGGTGTGGAATATCCTGTTGGTCAGTGACCTGGTTTCGGCTGAGATAGAGTTCATTCTGTTTCTAGTAGCTGATACAATTCTGTGGTTTGGATTTAGTATGAGAATAATGCTGATAACAGAGGGATGTTTTTGTTCCT